AACGTCAATAATACTTCTGACTGCAGTTCAATTACTTACTATCTATACACACATTACATTACCTTCCCGCGTCACGTTGTCCCCCTCTTATATATACCCGACTACCCTATCTAGTAAATACTAGAGCATTCCTGAAAGAACAAGATAGTTCTAGAAACTAGAGGGCGCCACACCAGTCACGTGACCTCGATGACGCAACAGGTGTTTATGTTGAAACAGAGTAATAATACTTTAGGTAGTAGTGTAATCAGAGTAACAAAGCACGATAAATAATGTAACATTATCAAACAACAATAAAAATATGTTTTATGAAGAGAAACAGCCAGGATTCAGTGAAAGTTCTTTAATTCCTCGGCCCGGCATGCTCAGGTGGTTAGGGCGCTCGATTCGCAAGCAATTCATTTTCTTGTTTCCTTATCTTATTTCAGTAGTAAGGTGTTGAATTAGGGAGAAATGCCAAATGAGCTGGATTGTGCACATTTTATCTTACCTTATTGGAATTCTGAAGTGATTGGTTGTGACAAATAATGACGTTGGTCCAACATTACTGGTTTAACTGTCTTTATTAGCACAGTGTCAATCACTCTAACATCTGATAATGTTTTAGAGTATGATTTTGATATAGGTTTTGTGTAGAAGTTCATGTGTTACATGAACTAGAGGCCTTTGTTTCACTTTAAATCTGTTATTGTCATTATTAAAAATTCCTTATTCCGTCTCTCTTATTCAATGTGCAATATTTGACATCTTTCACGTAGCACTTAACAACCACTTCAAAAAAAAGTTTTTTATATCAAATCACTTGCAATAAACAACGCACTTATCTTATTAAATGCACAAAACTCTAGCTTTTTAGAATGATTAATGTGCAAATATTAAGCTTACCATTGCCACTGAAATGCAAGTGTTTTTTTTTTCTTCCCAAAACTATCCGTCATTTGCAAGAAGAAAATCTTACCAGACAAGATTCTCACGTAAATATCCACCTAGCAACTCTGGTTAGAGAAATGTTATTGCAGCCACAATGATCGGATTCTTAAAAGTGTGATATACAGGCATATCCTATGTTTTGTACGTGCTTTATTTCTATAGGATTGTATTTATTTTTTTCCTTTATTTAGTTTGTATGCAGCTTTAGCATAAGCACATGGGCCAGAAAGTCGTTAAGATTACATTGTTCTTGTTGTTTTGCTTCTTTGTTTTTTATAGTAGATAGTGTCTATTCTCCCGAAGAGGATATAGCAATAACATATTGAATCCGGTGGAAAGGATTATCAACTATATTGTACTTTGCTGGCCGAATTGTCAGTGTCTGAAAGTTACAACCAACCAATGTTGTGAAATAACAAAGTTTACAAGATGAAAATCTCGACTGGATAAAGAAACCGAGTTTACCTGCAGAATTCAGGCACGCTTTCTAAATTCAGTTTCTACCTGGAGATCGACAGTTGTAGTTCTGTTTGGAGATCAGCATGTCTTAGTTGAATAGAAGTTTATCCCGAGAGAAAGCAAGCTATGTATCTAATCACAATACAGTAAAGGCATCTGTCTTTTTATGTGCACAAGTGTGTAAGCTGCATTTTTTTATTGTTTGTTTTATAATAAAGATTGTGTTCATTTTTTGCAGTCTGATTATTTCACACATGCTAGGAAAATTCAGTAACGTTATCAGATTCAGAATTACTCTCCTTATTTCTTGAACGAATATGTTGCTATTAGCATATCTAATTATTTGATACCTGTTGGGAAATCAGTTCCCACTTAAAGCATAATATAATGTTTTCAGACCTAAAGGCTGGAGAAAGTTCTATTGAAATATAACAACTCAATTTAATACAAAAATATATGTGCCCAAATATTTAAAAAATAAACATTTATCAAGCATAAATCAGATAATTTCATTACTTTCAAGGTCTGAAAATTCAAACATTAAACGGTATATAATGTGTTATATTATGTTTGGCTGGAGAAAGTTCGATTGAAGTATAACAAATCAATTTAATACAAAAATATATGTGCCCAAATATTTAAAAAATAAACATTTATCAAGCATAAATCAGGTAATTTCATTACTTTCAAGGTCTGAAAATTCAAACGTTAAACGGTATATAATGTATTATATTCTGGTGAAATATTATCTGTTGACTGATAGTTTTGTACAATATTACATCACAGTAAGAATGATAATTTTTATCATATTTTTCTAATACCACTAGGCTTAGCATACCTAGTGGTTAAGGTGCTTAACTTGGAATCTATGGGTTTTGGGTTCGAATCTTCATGACCAAACATGCTCACTCTTAGTTGGCAGTGGGTGGTGTTGACTAGTTGCTGTCCCTCTAGGCTATCATTGATAAATTAGGGAGTGTGTTAGATATACATGGCTATTTAAGTTTAATGCTACTGTTAAATTTAGTCATGTTTAGAAGCGAAACTTTATGACAGGTTTGTTTACGTAACTGTGTATGAATCATATGTTGTGTAGCTCCACTGTTGTGATTTGGTGCTTGTATAGTTTTTCTCGTTGTTTTGATTGAATATTATTACATCATAATATCTTATAGTGTATAAGACGCTCTAGGCCTCAGTCAGGCTACAAGGACATGTAAAAAATGTAGTTAGAGTATGTAAGAGATAGTAAGGTAGATCTAGATTGCATGATTGTGTGTTTGGCCATCAGAAACATGTAATGGTGATTTCTAAAGTGAACTAACACTATTTGTATCACAATAACAGAGTAGAGAACAATAATTCGTCTTGACAATTGTGTTATAAAGAAATTTATCAAATCTATGTAGACGTTTGACGAAAAGAGACGATTACTTAAAGCTCTGGATACAACTGTGGTAACCAACAGTGCAATGTAAATGAAATTACCACTGATTGTATTGTAATAACAGAGCAGAGAAGAATATTTTTCTTGTCAATTGAGTTTTAAAGTAAATGAATCACAAAATGAGATGATTATATAAAGCCCTGGACATAACTGTGGTGATAACTGTGTAACAAATATTTGTATATACATTTGACTTGTTTT